TGGTCCCGCGGGCTCGTTGGCCCCGCTGCCCGGCAGCTCCGGAGTGGGCCCGGGCGGCGTGATCCGCGTCCCCGCGCACCGCCCACTGCCCGTGCCGCCGCCCGCGGGAAGCGCGCCTGCGGTGCCCGGGCCCTCGGGTTTGGGCGGCGCCGGAGGCCTAACAGGACTCACCTTCCCCTGGATGGACAGCGGCCGCCGCTTTGCCAAGGACCGGCTTACGGGTGAGGTTGCCCGACCCTTCCAGCGTCATGCCCCACTCCGATCCCGTTTCCTCATCCCTTATCTTTCTGCTCCAACTCAGTGACCCCTTTCACACCTCATCCCAGATCATAACAGGGGATCCTCCTCCAACTCGGATCTCTCGGCCCTGCCGCTAAGAGGCAATGGGGAGGGAGCTGCCGTCGGTGCCCGGCCTCCTCTGCAGTCCCCCTGTCCACACCGCGGGAAGGGGCGGGGGAAGTTGTGGGGGCCGTCTGTCCCCCACCCAAGGGGAAAGGCCGTTTCTTCCAAGGTCCTTGTTTTCTAGAGGCCTCTGCTGATGGTGGTTGAGCTTGGGGCCCGGGTAAGGACCGGGTGAGGGAGCTCTGAGGCCTGAGCGGGGGCGTTTTCTTAGTGACCCCTCGGGCCGACCCGCAAACCCTGCCCCGCTCTTTCCTCCTCCCCGTAGCCGCGCTCTCACCCTTCTCCGGGACCCGCCGCATAGGCCACCCCTACCAAAACCGGACACCCCCGAAGCGGAAGAAGCCGCGCACGTCCTTCTCCCGCTCGCAGGTCCTGGAGCTGGAGCGGCGCGGCGGGCACGGGCGCGGCTGCTCCCGGTGCACAGGGATGCTGCTGTTCCGGGGGCCCCGGCGCCTCTCCGTGGCCAGCCCCGCGGGCCCCTGAGGCCGCTGCCCGGAGCGCGCCGCCACCTGGCTCCCGGAGTTGCCTGAGGCACCCTCCACAACCCCGGAATCTCCTGCGGTCCTCCCTGGCCCGGACCCATGGAGCCGGCGGTGCTGGCTCCGCACAACCTCTCGCACCACGAGCCAATCAGCTTCGGCATAGACCAGATCCTGAGCGGCTCCGAACCCCCCGGGGGCGGCCTAGGCCCAAGCCGTGCGGGCCAGGGACCTGGGGAAAGTGCGGCGTTCTCGGGTGGATTCCACGGCGCCTCCAACTACGGTCCCGCGGGCTCGTTGGCCCCGCTGCCCGGCAGCTCCGGAGTGGGCCCGGGCGGCGTGATCCGCGTCCCCGCGCACCGCCCACTGCCCGTGCCGCCGCCCGCGGGAAGCGCGCCTGCGGTGCCCGGGCCCTCGGGTTTGGGCGGCGCCGGAGGCCTAACAGGACTCACCTTCCCCTGGATGGACAGCGGCCGCCGCTTTGCCAAGGACCGGCTTACGGGTGAGGTTGCCCGACCCTTCCAGCGTCATGCCCCACTCCGATCCCGTTTCCTCATCCCTTATCTTTCTGCTCCAACTCAGTGACCCCTTTCACACCTCATCCCAGATCATAACAGGGGATCCTCCTCCAACTCGGATCTCTCGGCCCTGCCGCTAAGAGGCAATGGGGAGGGAGCTGCCGTCGGTGCCCGGCCTCCTCTGCAGTCCCCCTGTCCACACCGCGGGAAGGGGCGGGGGAAGTTGTGGGGGCCGTCTGTCCCCCACCCAAGGGGAAAGGCCGTTTCTTCCAAGGTCCTTGTTTTCTAGAGGCCTCTGCTGATGGTGGTTGAGCTTGGGGCCCGGGTAAGGACCGGGTGAGGGAGCTCTGAGGCCTGAGCGGGGGCGTTTTCTTAGTGACCCCTCGGGCCGACCCGCAAACCCTGCCCCGCTCTTTCCTCCTCCCCGTAGCCGCGCTCTCACCCTTCTCCGGGACCCGCCGCATAGGCCACCCCTACCAAAACCGGACACCCCCGAAGCGGAAGAAGCCGCGCACGTCCTTCTCCCGCTCGCAGGTCCTGGAGCTGGAGCGGCGTTTCCTGCGCCAGAAGTACCTGGCCTCGGCCGAGAGGGCGGCGCTGGCCAAGGCCTTGCGCATGACCGACGCACAGGTCAAGACGTGGTTCCAGAACCGACGCACCAAGTGGCGGTGAGGCGCGGCGCGGAGGCCGAGCGGCACCGCGCCGGCCGGCTGCTCCTGCACCTGCAGCAGGACGCGCTGCCGCGGCCGCTGCGGCCGCCGCTGCCCCCGGACCCGCTCTGCCTGCACAACTCGTCGCTCTTCGCGCTGCAGAACCTGCAGCCCTGGGCCGAGGACAACAAGGTGGCTTCCGTGTCCGGGCTCGCCTCGGTGGTGTGAGCCACGCCTGTCCGATCTGCCGAGCGCTCTTTTCCAGACCGAGGCGGCGTGTGGAGCGCCGGGCCTTGAGCGGTGGAGCGCGCGGCTGCCCGCGCCCATGGTCTGGTGGCTACCGAGCGTCTGAGGAGGAGCAGGCCTTGACTGAGGCTTTCGTCGAGGGCTCCTCGGCCACCGGAGGGCTCCTCTCAGGCCCGTGTTGCGCGGACGCGGGGCGCGCTCGGATGCGGCCTTTCCCGCCAATTTTCACAACTGCTGATGCGCGGCGGCTGGAACCTGAGGTGCCGAGTGGGCGGGACCTACAGAACGTTAGCCAATGAGCTGCAGGGAGGGAGGCGGGCTGCCCAATAGGAGCTGCTCTCCTGAGAGATTCCGGATCCTCCAGTGGGTGGGTGGGGGGGAGGGCTGGGGTTTTGGGGACTCCAGCAGTGTTATTTATGCTCGGTGCTGGGAAGGGGCACCTGCAGCCTGTGCTGGTTGGGTCTGTACCAAAGGTGTGAAGGAGGGAAGATGCCAGTTACAGCGGAGTAACGGAGGATGTGCCCAAGTGCGAGAGTCTGGCTGTTGTGACAGGAACCAGAAGGTTGTCCATGCTGGGCATCTCATCTTTCAACTGTAAAATAATCGCTAAGGATTCCTTCCTGACTTTGAGTCTAATGCTGTCATGTGTGTTCAGCCTGTTGGCCACATCCTCCCACTTGAACCTCCCAACGCCCCTGGGTGTTAGGCAAGACAGTTGCTTACCCACCAAAAGAGAAAATCTAGAAAGAAGATCTGGCTCTGATGCTCTACAGGGACAGAGAGGGAAGAGGAGGAAAGAGTGGACAAAGTTAGTGGGCCCACTGTAGTTAGGGTGGGCCGAATATGGAAAGTAATTTGGAAGTGACAAACCTAAGAAGAATCAAAGATAATTCCAAGATTGGAAATGTGGAGGATCAGGAAGTCAGTGGTGCTGTGGATGATGAAGGGGAGATTGGGAAGACTGGAGCAAAGTTAATTCTGTAGGCAAAACTAAATGTGAGACCTAGAGAGAATAAATTCTGGAAAAGCGCCTCTGGGGGAAAATCAACCACATAGAGGTGGAGATAGATGGAATGATGAGAACAGAGAATCTCCAAGGGAGAGAACTCCGAGGAGAAAAGAGTTCTAAGGAGTAAACCTTTCTTTCTACCAAATTCTACAAACACATTTACAATGTGCAAGATGATGGCGGATACAAAAGTTAATAATCCAAGGGCAGAAAAGGGGAAGGAGTACCTAGCTGGAAAGAAAGGAAAGCACAATGTCTCTGAAGTTGGAGACTTCAGCTTGTGGGTGGACCAGGGGCTGAAGGGAAGCTTGTTGATGGATAGCTGAGTTAGAGGATGGTCACAATGGCCTTCAGGCTTAAAAAGTAGTAGGATTTAAGTTGTACGAGGAAGAAAGGGAAGATTTTGTCTGATTCCTCTAGCAACCCTATTTTTCCTTCCCTGGAGGCTGAAGTGTTGTGACAGAGGGAAGAGAGGCAGGGCCAGAGACCAACTGTAGCCAGATTACCTATGTTCTGTGCTAGTGACAGCTATGTCAGTCACAACACAAAGTCTTAACCAGAGGTAAGACCAGCCAAGAAGCTATAGCTGGAGAGTGGGCCCTGGATCTTTGATATATAGTGTAATCTCTGACTCATAGATGTTGTATATGGTGATACAGAACTAAACTGAAATTTGGCATCATAAAAATATCTTTTATAGACCAAAAGGGAGTACAAAGATGGGCTTGACATAAGTTGGGGGAATGGAGAGCACGTCAGTCCCTCTCCAATAAATAGGAGAAGGCCAAGGAAAGGGTCCTATCCTATGTAGACTGTAGCTTAGCCCATTCCCTCCACTCCCAGCCCACCATTTCTTGGGACTCAGGTTCCAGGATTTACATTTGACCCTAAACTTTGGGCTTCTAAATCTAGCTGACTGCCTCGGGGCTAGCCTAAGGGAGGATCTAATGCCATGACATGGGCTCAGCTCCCGTTCCTTAGGCAGGCAGGTCACTGCAGGATACAGGGGCCTCTGAACTCCTGGGTGGAGGAGGATTCACTCCGTGCTGAAGAATCTGCCATTTCTTCCTTCAGCTGGTTCAGGAGGTCTCTGCTCTCACTGGGAGGCAAGTTACTCAGGAAGTATGGAGGGGCCAACTCCACCAGCCTGACAGAGAGAGTACTAATTAGATGATCTGCATCTTCTCTTATAATGTACAGACTCTTAAACTTCTCACCACTCCTTCCACAAACCCTCTCTCCTCAAATCATGTTAATGCAAACCACTAAGATCCCCTCTTCTTAAGTCTCTCTAACTCCTCAGCCATAATTTTGGCCCCAGGTATAAGAATGGGCAGTGTGGGCGGGTGTCAGGGAACTCACATCTGTGGTTGAATCTCAGAAACAATGGAAAGGCAGTTGTCTTTGGATATGGAGAAACTGTGGTAAAGGACCCATGGTGGGGGTCTGGCTGGAACCCTGCGGCTTCGGTAGCAGGAGTATGAGGAGAGCTGGGCCACATGCTTATGGGTTAGGAGTAGATAATTTCCAGTCCCATCTGTGTCTCGGGCCACCTCGTTGAAAGGCAATGATATTAAAGGAATAAGTTAAAGGGAAGAGGCAGATGTTAGAAAACAGAAAAGGGGGTTGAGAAAGAATTAATAAGGATGGTTAAGAGTATTAAAAGTAAGGCATTACCTCTAGGTGTTGTCTGGGCCCTACTATACCATATTGTATTTTCTATAGCCCCTTGTATCCCAAAGCCTCAAAGGAAAAGTCCCTCCTGCATTTAAATAATCTCTTGAATGGCTCCTGGACCCCAATTTCAGAGTTGGCATGCCACTATTTGTTCCATCTGCCTTTTACTCCTTTTATCACCTTCCTCCCAACCCTTTCCCCTAACCTTGAGGAAGTATCCTGACACCAGAGCTTTCTGAAGGTCTCTGCGATTCTGCTCAGAGCCAAAGGCTGGTTGGGACAAGGGAAGTTCAATTCGCTGCATGAGTTCTAGGAGTTCTCCCCGAAGTTTACGGGCTTGGCACAATGCTGCCCAGTTTAGACCCCGAGCCTGGCACCAAGCCTCGTCTGCTCCACCTAGAAGAGAAAAGGGAGCAGCTACAACTAAAGTCCTTGAGACCCCTGAAAGAACCCAACCCTTGACCAAAGGGCCTTCCCTTCCTGGGCACAGACATCTGTCAGCTGGTTGCACACCACTTCCCCTCTTTGGAAAATCTGGGATTTTATAAGAGGATGCAGAATGGTCCACTCACTTTGTATAAAGGCTTCATACACTTGGATCAAAGAGCTGTGGTCACCATCTGCATGTTCCAGGGCCCGACGCAGGGCAGCTTCTTTTGCACAGAGTGGAGGACGGGTAAATCCAGGGGCAGCTGGAGGCAGAAGAGAGGAAGGTAGTTTTGGGAAATGAGAAAGGATAGTAGTACAGATGGAATGCTGAAAAGGTAGTAGTATCTCTTTGGGAGCTTTATTCAAAAGACATTGATAACTTCCAGGTGCTTTGTACTTTATTAGACATTGAGGATAAATAAATGAAAGATAGTCTCTGCTCTCAGGAAGCTTAGAGTCTGGTGGGAGTGACAAACAAGTAAGTAGACTTGGTAAGTATAATAGGTATGTGTATACGGTACTCTGGAAACAAAGAGAAGGGTACCAAACTAGGCTTTGGGTGGTAGGGATGAAGAGTGATGTGGGAGAAAAGGGTGAGGACCCTTGGATCAATATTTGAAGTCTGAGTAGGAATTAGCTCAGTGGAGAAGGCAGGGAGGGTATTTTAGACTGTGGGAACAGCATGGCACAGAAGCCAATAGCATGGCTTGTTTGGGGAACTGCAAGCTACCTGATATGAGTGGAGAGGACGATGTATGTCAGAATGGCAGGAGATAAAGCTGAAGAAGTAGGTATAGGCCAGGTCATGAGAGGCTGGATATGCTTTATTTTATTTTATTTTATTTTTTGGCAGCTGGCAGGTACAGGGATCTAAATCCTTGACCTTGATGTGCTCTAACCAGCTGAGCCAACCAGCCAGCCCTAAGGGAGTTTACATTCTATCTTGAATTCTATCTTGAAGGTGAAAATAGCTGTTGAGTAAGAGTTTTTAAGTAAGAGAGTCCATGTGATTGAAAAAGTTCAAATGACTAGTTAGGAGGCTACTGAAGGAATCCAGCTGAGCAATGTTGAAAACCTAACACTGGCACTGGCAGTGAAAGTGGAGAAGAGCAAATGAATTTTTTAAAAAGGCATTTAGGAGATAAAAATGAAAAAATCTGGAGAGAGGTTAGTCTAGAATGATGGTAGTGGAACAGCAGAGATGATGGTATTATTTGAAACTAAGAATCCAGAGAGAGGAAAAGATTTTGTGGTGATGGTTGTGAGGAGGTAGTTTAATAGAGTGCTTGAGTTCAGTTCTGAGCTGAGGCACTATGGACTATTCTGGTAGAAATGTCCTTCAGGAGATGGATCTCCCCCCCACCTCCCATGCCCCGCAAGACCCAGAAGAATGGCATTGGCAGAGAGATGCAGAGTACAAGTTTTAGAAGTTTTAAGTATAAAGGAAGCACTTTAAACAATGGGTGTGGATGAACTTGTTCAGAGTTCAGGGTCTGAGGAGACAAAAACGGCAAGGATAGAACCCTGAGGACCAACTTACAATGGATGAGCAGAGGACAAAGAGCCCAAGGAAGAGCTTAACAGAATGGTCAGAGAAGTAGGATGAAAACCATGAGGAGTGGTATCACAGAGGCTTAGGGAGGAGGCATTTTCAAGGTGGGAGTGATCAGCAATCTCAAGTGTCAAAAGAAGGTCATGAATAAGGGCTCAAAAGTTCCCATTGGGGGCCGGCCCGGTGGCGCACTGCTACAGTGCGCGGCTTGGGAGCGCGGCGGCACTCCCGCCGAAGGTTCGGATCTCACATACAGACCGGTTCCCACTCACTGGCTGAGTGAGGTGCGGGCGCGACACTGAGGGTTGCGATCCATTGCTGGACACGAAAAAAGACAAAAAGGAAAAAAAAAAAAAAGTTCCCATTGGATTAGGTATTTGGGAGGTCACTGGAGTGTTGAAAGCTGTTCCAGTGGTATGGTGGGCCTGAAGCTGCAATGTAGTAGGGAAGCAGTACACTGGATAGAACAGGATAGAGATTAGGCTATACAGGTGAAGGGGGGTATAGGGTTGAGGAAGAGGGGTGTGTGTTTTAGTAATAACAGAGGACAGAGGTTTAAGCATGTTGGGGGGATAACCAGCAGGGAGAAAAAGCTAGAGACAAGAGAAGGGTAGGTGATTAAGCCTGGTTCTTTGGGTGCTGTGAGGGATGGGAACTAGAGCAGAGAGGAAAGGGCACCTTTAGGAGCACCAAAAACACAAGGGAAAGGGCTGAAGTGGCTGATAGAACCATTGATTCATAGCAGTGATTTATACCAGTGAGCATGGCGGCCAGGGTGAGCATCTCGTCCACACAGTCAAACTCGCACGAGGCCAGGAGGGCTTTGGCTAGCTCAGGGGGCAGAGGGAACTCTGATAGGATGACTCCCAGGTCTGACAGGTTCCCATCATCATCCAGGGCCGCCAGGTAGTCTAAGTCTTCCAGGGCCTGCATCAGTGCTTCTGGAGCTGGTGAGGAAACAGGGCACATGGGGTGTGAGGTCTCAGAGCTGGGTGGTCAGATGGCAGCACTTAAGTAGAACAGGTGCTCACCAGGCCGGTCTAGGAAGTGACACTCCCCTGGCTCTGCAATCTGTCTCCTCTTTAGTAGTAATACCAGGGGGCTCAGATTCTCCTCACATACCCTGGGTTGGGGCAGTAGGGGAGCCTCTAGTTCTAGGAAGGACTTAGGATACAGGCAGAGGCAGGATCCTGAGGGGAGAAAGAGCTGGGAAAGACCACTGTAGATTTATCAGGGCTTGCATGTTGGTGACTTTTCTTGTGTTTGATCTCAGCATGGGCAAAGGCTCTTACCTGGTGGGAAACCACTTGCCCGCAGTCGTCTTGCCTCTGCCTGACACTTGCTGATTGGCCTCAACACTTGGGATTCTGCTCGGATCCGAGGATTGTAAACCTGTTGCCCACCCCCAAACCAAGGCCAAGACAGATCAGAGTGGGCCATTTCTATCTTTAGCCCCTCATCCCCCTCTCTCACTCACGCTTCGAAGCTCCAGTCCTGAGTCAATGACATGTCGGATGGAAGGGAGGGAGAAGGAGAAGTCAGCCAGCCAGTGAGTGACCACAACCTTTCGGGCACCTGTGTTTATGTCCTCGTAAATAGCCTGAACGGCTTGACCACAGCCTGGGTGAAGGGGCAGCACCTGTGGTGGAGGCCCTTGGAGAGCCAGGGACCCCACCGCCCTGGACAAGGATTCACAGCACAGGGAAATTTCCTGAGGAGAGGATGAGCGGGAATTAGGACAGTTCTCATCTTTTTGAGGGTCAAATACCCCTTTGAAAAACTGATGAAAGCTATAACCCTTCACTGAAAAAAATGCATACTCATATAAAGTTGGGGGTGTTATAATATCAGTTTCCCGAGCCACAAATCTCTGCATCAGAGAATCAAAAAGTAGGTGGTAGACCTCTTCACCCTGAAATCCTTGAGTATTCCCCCAGGATCCCAGCAGAGAGTAAATACTACAACTCCTAATAAGCATTATTTCCGTTCCCCCAGGACAAGAAGGTGATATACAAGAGTACGTCCTTTTGCAGTCCATTTTTTTACCTCCTCACTGGGTAGGTACACTAGCACATCTCCTGGAGCCTTCTTCCGACACAACTCAAACACAGCTTGACAGGCAGCTTCCACCCGATGAGTAGGGACAGTGTCTCTGTAGATGGGGGTGGGACTCCTGCCAGGCTCTCTGGATATGTGCACAATAGGAGGATTGCCCCAGAAGGCTTGGAGCTTGGGTTCGAGGGCTGGGTCAGTAACCACAACTACTTTGGGGTCTCCTGGAAGGTTTCCCAGCCTGGCATCTCGCAGCAGCCCCTGGAGTGAGTCTGAGGCCACTGACCGCTCCTGAACCTCATCCAGCACCAGCACGCCCCAGGCTCCATTGCCCCGGGTTGAGGCTACTTCCTGCAGGAGCAGCCTGTCCCAGCAAAACCTGCTGACATCGGTAGTGGGCAGAGGAGTCAGTGTGTATACTGACCTGCGTCAGAAGTCAAGGGCAACTACTCCCCAAGGGACCTAGCTTTTGATATTGGAAGTCAGAAAAAGATGCTGTGACTGACTTCCTGAGCCTGTGGATCCATAACTGTGACCCCACAACCCCACCAAGGACACTTTGTTCATAAACTATACCCAGCTGGGAAGCAAGATTTTTGTGATGAAGGTGAGGCTGAATGTTTGAGGCCAAATTTTTAATTAAATCAAGGGCTTTATTTAGCAGTTGCACCATGCATGATTTAAAGGGTGAGCTGGGCTGAGGGAGGGTATGGTGAGATGCCAGAGGAGTGGACTTATTTCTCCAGGGTAAGGGGAATTAGATTTGGGACAGGCTTGCAGAGGGCCCACCTGAGCAGGGTGTGGGGCCCCGTGCAGTCCTCCTGGGGGATGCTGTATCCAACCTCATGACCCAGGGTCAGGTCCATCTCATCAACAACCCGCAGAGCCAGGCTCAAGGCTGCCAGAGGGTAGGGCTGAGTGACAGTAACCTGGCCCTCCTGGAACCCCCTGGCCAGTGCAAATTCTGCACACCACTGAGGGATCTGGGGTAGGAGTAGGAAAGGACAACCAGTCAGGGAGGCATAGGACTTCAGCCAGAAGTGCTGGGGGAATAATGGTCTGCTTAATCTCTCTTTATTTGGGAAGTCTCCTGGTCCTTCACCAGCCCTGGGAAGCCAGCCTAACCCATCTCTTTGCCCACATCCTCCATAACCCCACATAGCCCAGTCCCCCTTTGCCCAGGGAAAGGCCAATTTCCTGGCCCCTCCCTTTGCCCACTCCCAGAATCCCCTCCCCCCCACCTGGGTGCTCTTGCCAGAGCCAGGCTCCCCAGACACCAGCACCACTCCAGTGGGGCTACTCTCCAACTGCTCCAAGAATATAAAGCGAGCAGCCCAGATGGGCAAGGCCCGGCGCTGCTCAAGCAGCTCATAGTAGCGTGAAGAGAAGGGGAGCCCATCAAAGGGGTTCACAGCCAGTTCAGACTCCCCAGGACTTGGGTCATACTCTTCTGCCAGCCTGATAGGCTGGGAGGCCATGGTGGCTGTCCAGCAGGACCTACAGAAGGCAAGACAGCTAATAAGGCCTCATATTTTATGACTAACACCATCCTCCCACCTCAGTCCTGATCCTTAACCTCCCCCTCAGGTAGAGGTCAATCTTTCCCAGCATTTCTTGCCTGTGAGAAAACAGGGCTGCGTTTTTGTAAGGGACTATCAGAAGCAGACTATTACCCTGTAGTCAGGTAGTAGAAATCTTGTGACTAACGCAGGAGTCCTTGGGGCAGCAGGAATAACATGAGACCTGGCAGCCTGTGGGAAAGTCTTGAGGGGAAAAGGATAAAGAATATGGGGGAGGAGGAGGGCAGGGTCACAGGGACCCTGGACACAAACCTGCTTGCAGCTCCGAGACGTGTCAGGATGGCAGACAGTTCCAGACCTACCCAGCCAGCCACCACTGACTTTGGCTCACCCGAAGTACAAAGGTTAAATTCTGGCTCCACCCTGGGGCTAGGCTCAAACTCGAATCCTGGAGTTTGCTTTTGGGGTGGGGCCATTTGCTCCACCTTACTTAACCTAATCAGGAACCTATAGAAAATTGGCTCAAACCATCACACTGAGCATGTGTAAACTATATAGCCAATGTGTATTGTGCTTGTGAAAGCATGCTGGGACCTGTAGTTTTGTAAGTTTCTTCACAAACTTGGGCTGAACACCCAAGATGGGATCCAGTTGCTGCTGGGTCTTCAGTTCATTTGCACTTCCTTAATATCACTCATCTTTTGGCATGATAAGATGATTTCAGACAGTTCCATTCTGGCCACCACCCACAAACCTACAAAGAGACCCTCACCTTGTTCCCCCAAACCAAGGGAAAAAGAACCTGCTCATGAGACTCTTGAGACTCAGAGAGGAAACAGAGACCTTGAGTGAAAAACCTGAATTTAATGCAATCTTGGGGGAGTCCCATCCCTCCCTTTTTACCACCCACCCATCCAGCTGTTGTGAGTTGGATGAGGGCTGCCCCCAGTCTCCGTCCTGCGGCTCTGAGTGCCATCTGTTCCTTTGAGCTTAGTCAGCCTCCTGGGCCCATCTCTCTGTGAATCTTCTGTGAACATAGGGAGAGACATTGTGTGGACTTTGCCATATTAGTTCTCTTCTCCAACCTGCCCCTTCCTACTCACTGTCCTCTAGCCCCCTCACCTTCTTGCATATTCATACAGTGCCTGCTTGCGCTCCTGCAGGCTCTCCTGCCGGGCCCAGGAAGACTTGGCAAATGTTACGGCTGTGGGCTGAGGAGTCACCGGGCCAGAACTGGGGAACTGAGGTGATCACAATGTCAGAGGGCTTGCGAAGTCATCATCATTAAACACGCATTGAATGCCTACTTTGCAAGAGAGGCACTGTGCTAGGGTCTCAGAATCAAAAAAGAGAGACCAAAGATAGGGAGTATATAGACTGCACCACCCCACCCCAAGTCTTGGACCTGACCATTTCCTGGGTCTCACCTTGGGGGCAGAGGCTGTGGGTAGGGACTGAGTTCCCTTGGTGATGTCTTCAGGCATGAAAGCTACAGCCCCCTCAAGTAGATTAGTGATGGTCAAGTCTACACAGCCAGTCCTGGCTGGGGAGAAGGGAAGAAAGGAGAGGGGAGTCCATTCCCTGCTCACTTTTTCCTTCACAATCCACTATTCCTCCCTGTGCCTGTCTTCCTGTGTAAGGCCACCCTTTCCCATACCCAGATCTCTCTGGATGATGCCCAATGGCACATGGGGCAAAACCTCCTTGACTCTCTGAGCCAGAGTTGCCAGCTGCGCATCAGGAGAAGGTCCAGGGGAGGGAGGGAATGAAGACTGGGCTGCAAAACAAAAACAAAACCAGAAATATGTTAAGTGGAGAACTAGGAGGAAGGAGAAGCTGACTAGCATATGAATAGGAGAGAAATCATAGTAGGCTAGGAAAAAACAGAAAGCTTTGTGTATAGAGACCACATACCTGACTGGGGATGCAATCTGGGATGTCTTTGTCGCTTCATGTGCTCTGCTTTGTCTGCTGGAGTAAGCCGTGTCCCTGTCTGTCCCAATTCCTTGGCCATCAGCTAGAGAGAATTAGAAGGTTGGAAGTGTCAAGATCTCAGTCAAGCTTTCCTTGCCCTCACTGTAAGGAGGGACCCACCTCCACCCTGCCTGTGTACCCTACCACCTGTTGTACACGAAGTGCAAACTCCTCACTCCCCTCCCCCAGCTGGCGATGAACAGGATGAAGCCACCTGCAAGAAACAATCCAGGGCCATATTGGGGGCAACTGGGGTACAGGCTGTCACCCCTTCTCCACTTTGGTACCACTTTTTATGGAACAGTGATGGGGAGGGTGGGGAGATAGTAAATACTATTTGTTGCCTCTGTGGTGGAACCTTGATTTTAAAAGATCTACAAATGGACAGGGCAGAGGCCACTACTTCCTTGACCTTGAGGAGAGCCTCTCCCCAGCCACCAAAAAGTGAGGACAGTTAATACCTTACTTGATACATCGTGAAAGGGACGAAAAGTGACCACAGCAGTTCTGAGACCCAGGAGGCATCTGACACCGTCTGAGGGGAGGGCATGAATGAGGCCTAAGCCAGGGCCAGGGGTGGGAAACTTCCCCTCCAAGCCCTAGAATTCCCTATCCAACACACACTCACCACAGAGACCAGGGGTCTCTGAACTTGCAGGGTAAGAGGTTGTACCACATCCTGGATAGAAAATGGCCAGGAACTAGAAGAGGAAGGAGAGAGTAGGATGGGAATCCAGCCAACCCACTTAGCAGCTCACACCTGACTTCAAACAGGGAATTATCAAACTGTGCAAGGAGATGAACAGGGAATAAGGAGATTCAGGAAAAGAATTAAAAGTGGACAGAAAGAAAACGAACTAGGATAGAGGAGAATGGGGCTGAAAAAGGCTGTGAAAACCCAAAGGCCCACAAGCTTGACCACCACCCAGTTGGAGCCTGACACCTGTGCTCACCCACCTGAAGCGCAAGAGCCCCTCCCGGCCATTGGTGGTCTCCTCTTCGGGGAACAGCAGTAGAGGGGTGGGGAGAAGCCTCGTGGAAGCACAGAATCTCTTGAGTGACTCCACCAACTCCCCCCGCCCATCCACTTCCATGAAGCCGCGAGACCAGCACACAAAGCTGGGGGCACTATTGAGTAGAGGCTGGAAACGGGAAGAAGAGAAAACAAGAAGAAAAGAATGGAGGGAAATGAGAAAAACCGACATATGGCGTAGAGGAGTGGGGTTAGGGGTAAGGCTCGGTATTCCTCAAGGTAAATCGAAGTGGGAAGCGGGGAGCCTTGAGTTGGCCCCCAAGGAACCGCCCCGTGGCGCTTTCGGCTTCGCCTCCACTCACGGTGCTACAGGTGGTAAGCAGGTTGACTATGTTGTGGTCGAAAGGTGTCACGTGGTTGGAAACGAGGACCCTGACGCGTTGATCCCGAAGTCCGGAGTCATCCTGCCGGGCCACGAGCCCCAGCACCGCACACATGGTCCGCACCACGAACCTGGGGACACAGATCGTGATGACTCTGCGGCCTCGGGCCGGGCCCAGCCCTGACACTCCCCGAGAGCCCGAGTCGGAACCTGCGAAGGGCGCTGTCTGGCAGGGCGCAGCTGACCAGGAAGACGTGGATCCCAAGGAACAGGCGCAGGACGAGGAGACAGAACCCGACAGGCGCGTAGAGCAGCAGCGCGAGGAGTAGGAAGCCGTCAGTGGGGAGCCTGGGGGCGAGAGGCGAGGTGATCGAGCGCAGAAGGCCGAGAGGACTCGGGAGCCAGCCTCTTCCCGCCGGGGCTCTTACCGGTGCGAGTCAAAGAGCCGCTCCGGCCCCGGCGCCGGGGGAGGTTCCATCTCTGCTGTTTCACGGGTGCCCTACCGCCACCACTGTCTTCGCGGCCGCCATCTTCGCGCCCGGCCGCAGGGGCTCCTGGGAAGGCGGAGTTTTTGGGCATCCGCCCAGGGTGCCAGACCCGAAGTCCTGGGCGCCCCGGAAGGGTTAGCGGTCCCAGCATGCCCTGCGGCCCCTTAGGCCGCCTCAGAACTCGCGCCCCGCGGGGACCACAATTCCCGGCATTCGCGGGGCGGGGCGGAGTCGGCCTCCCGCAAGCCTGGGTCCCGGCTGGCACTTCTGGAGGACTTCAGGTACCGACGTGCCCCGCGTCCTGCTGTCCGTCTGCTCGCATCCAGGGCGCCGCCTCTGAGTAGGCCGGGCAAGGAGGCAGCCGAGGCGGAGCTGATGGCTGCGCTGAGGGCGGGGCGGGGTGCGGGCTGGAGCCTCTGGGGATGGCGGGCTTTGGGGGGGATTCGCTGGGGAAAGGGACCCCTGTTGACCCCTGACCTCCGGGCCCTGGTGACGTCAGCAACTCCTGACCCCCCGGCCCGTGTGACTTATGGGACCCCCAGTCTTCGGGCCCGGTTGTCTGTGGGGGTCCCTGAACCTCAGGCACGTCTGACGTCTGGAACCCCGGATCCCCGGGCACGACTGTCTGCTGGGACCCCAGATCCCCGGACCCGGGAAGCCTCGGGGACCCCTGGAGCCCGTCCGCGCGTGTGGCTGGCAGTGGCACTGGGCGCTGGGGGAGCAGTGCTGTTGCTGTTGTGGGGCGGGGGTCGGGGTCCCCCGGCTGTTCTCGCCGCGGTCCCTGGCCCGCCGCCCACCTCTCCCCGGAGCCAGTACAACTTCATCGCTGACGTGGTGGAGAAGACTGCACCTGCTGTGGTCTATATCGAGATCCTGGACCGGTAATGGTGGGGGTAGGCCGGAAGGCACCGAAACCACAGGCCGGAGGGCGGGCGAGCAGGAGGGCTCAGAGCCTCCTCGTTTCTGTGTTTCCCCCTCATCCAAGGCACCCTTTCTCGGGCCGCGAAGTACCTATATCAAACGGCTCAGGATTCGTGGTGGCTGCCGACGGGCTTATTGTTACCAACGCCCATGTGGTGGCTGATCGGCGCCGAGTCCGTGTGAGGCTACCTAGCGGCGACACATATGAAGCCGTGGTCACAGCTGTGGATCCCGTGGCAGACATCGCCACGCTGAGGATTCAGACCAAGGTTAGTCGGGGTAGGACAGGTGTGGTCGGAGCTGTTTATTTGCTCTCATCTCCAGGTGACAGGTCTCTTGTACCCATTCTTCCTTAGGAGCCTCTCCCCACACTGCCCCTGGGACGCTCAGCCGATGTCCGTCAAGGGGAGTTTGTTGTTGCCATGGGAAGTCCCTTTGCACTGCAGAACACGATCACATCTGGCATTGTCAGCTCTGCCCAGCGTCCAGCCAGAGACCTGGGACTCCCCCAAACCAATGTGGAATACATTCAAACTGATGCAGCTATTGATGTGCGTCCTGATATGAGAAAAATGACAAACTAGGTTGTGGGAGGGAGGCTGTGTGGTACGTCAGACATCAACTGATATATGGTTGATGAACCTGTAAACAGAGGTTGAGCTGCAAAAATGTGACCTCTCATTCATGGGCTGGAAAGGAGAGAATTTGGAGAAAGTGCCTACATGCTGGTTATGCCCCACACTTAGAATCTCCAGATCTCTTCCTTGTTTTTTCCTTGTGCTGCAGTTTGGAAATTCTGGAGGTCCCCTGGTTAACCTGGTGAGTGGGACATCCTTCGTTCCAAGAATCCCTGCCCCAGGTCAGTGTGGGATGGGAGGGTTTTCCCTAATTCAAGGCTGTTTGGTCAAGTTTCTGAGCAGTCTCTGGGCTGTCTCCCAGTATCCAACTAGATTTTCCCAACACTGCCTACTACTCTTGTTCAAGTGCCCCCAGCCCCTACTATCTGTTTGGGTTAGGGAACAGGGGGCTGTGTCCCTGCAGGATGGGGAGGTGATTGGAGTGAATACCATGAAGGTCACAGCTGGAATCTCCTTTGCCATCCCTTCTGATCGTCTTCGAGAGTTTCTGCATCGTGGGGAAAAGAAGAGTGAGCCAGGCTTAAGGGGGAAGGGGCTCCATTAAAGTGGTGGGTGGGTCATAGGGGAGGGGCATTCATTGGAACTTGTTGGAGGGGGATCTATTGGGAGGAGAGGGAAGGGTGTAGCTGGAGGGGGGGGGGCTCATTTGTTCTTCTATCACAGGTTCCTGGTTTGGAATCAGTGGGTCCCAGCGCCGCTACATTGGGGTGATGATGCTGACTCTGACTCCCAGGTATAAACTTTAGGGATAGTGACATGTAAGTAGTGACACCAGCGTAATCAGAGGTGGATAGCTGGCACCTCTATTGAGCTTTGTTCTCATTTGTCTTTATCTAAGATGAGCTGCCTTGCACTTGGAGCTATCACAAGAGCTGTCCCCTCTCATCATCTTGACTTTCTAACCCCACTCCATTTTGCACACCTGTCACCAGATTGATTTCATCCTGTTACTGCTTTGATTTAAAGCATTCAATCCATTAAAGGACATTTAAGGGCCATTTTTCCATCTGTCTCTAAATTAACCTTCCAGACATGGCTTCTATTACTTCTTACATGAATACTCTGTGCCAGCCAACCTGATTTCCTACTCTCATGTTTTTATTTATGGTGCTCGTTGTATATAGTTAATATCAGACCCACTCTTCTAGGCTTAGCTTAAGTTCTACTCCTTCCTTAAAGCTTCTCTTAGGATTCTAGAAAGACATTAGTGTTATTGATTTAACACTGTGTGTCATTTGGAATTAGATATTTTTTATATGTAACCTACTTAATGGCTAGAAAGCAGAAAGTGAACTGCCTTTGTATCTGTAGTGCCTTGTACCTGTCCTGTCCAAACATTTGTCAGTGGCTTGAGGGTCAAGATGGGAAGAGTGCTTGGGTGTGGCTAAGAGGGTGTTCTGTGTCCTTTCAGCATCCTTGCTGAACTACAGCTTCGAGAACCAAGCTTTCCTGACGTTCAGCATGGTGTACTAATCCATAAAGTCATCCTGGGCTCCCCGGCACATCGGTGAGGGAGAGACTGCACTGGGAGGTGGGGATGGGTGAGGTGGGGATGTGTCCTTGAATTGGGCTGTCTACTCCTTCCTCTCCCTGTACATCATTTTCCACAGGGCTGGTCTACGGCCTGGTGATGTGATCTTGGCCATTGGGGAACAGCTGGTACAAAATGCTGAAGATGTTTATGAAGCTGTTCGAACCCAATCCCAGCTGGCAGTGCAGATCCGGCGGGGACCCGAAACACTGACCTTATATGTGACCCCTGAGGTCACAGAATGAATGGATCAGCAAGAGTATGAGGCTCCTGCTCTGATTTCCTCCTTGCCTTCCTAGCCTAGGCTCTGAGGGTACCTGGGCAGAGGATTTAATGAACCAGTTGGGGGCAGGTCCCTCCAACCACCAGCACCAATCCCTGGGCTCTGAAGAATCACAACAACATTTTTTATATAAAATAAAATTATACCTAGCAACATGTTATAGTCAAAAATGGGGGGGGGGCTGGATCATTTCCCCCACAAAAAGGCTAGAGGTAAAGCTGTATCCCCCTCAACTTAGGAGAGACACTGGAGCTGACCATCCTGACCTCCCTATTCAAGAAAATGAGCCGCTGCCACCTGTTATTCTGGGCAGTTAGGTGCTGTTCTTTGTGGTGTGCTCTGCTCGGTGCTGGGCCTGGGAGCAAAGATTCCCCATGCTTGGCCACACATACTGATAGCTGGCTTGGGAAGGAGGATGATTACTTCTGCTTGACAGTTCCACATTCATAGTGCACAGTTGGATGAGTGTGGTAGGTCTATTGACATCAGGGGTTCCTCGGTAAGCTCCTGAGGTAATGGCAGCCTCAGACCCCTGCCATTAGGGGCCAGTGGTGGTTTGCAGAGGAGGTTGGCACTTTAGACGATCTGGTTGCTGGTCTGGCCAGGATAGCGCTCGAACCTCCTGTTGGCCTCTTCACTGAAGGCATCACCTGCAGGGTAGACAGGCAGTTTGGGAGACACCTTGCACAGAGGCAGGAGATGAACCCATTGTGGGGAAGGGTGAGTAGAAGTGAAGAGACTGAGAGATCCAGAGGTGGATGGAAAGACACAGAAACAACTTAGAGAAAAGAGAATGTAGGGGCCAGCTTGTGGCTCACTTGGGAGAGTATGGTGCTGATAACACCAAGGCCATGGGTTCGGATCCCTATATAGGGATGGCTGGTTAGCTCACTTGGGAGAGTGTGGTGCTGACAACACCAAATCAAGGGTTAAGATCCCCTTACCGGTCATCTTAAAAAAAAAAAAAAAAGAATGTAAGCCTTTCCCTCCCATCCCCCGATTTTCCTGGGTTGCTCTTCATTAAATACCAATGTGACAGTTGTGCACCCAGATGCGATGTCCATCATATTTGCAGTTACATCTCATTGCGTTGTTGGTGAAGTCACTCTCTGCTACTTCAAAATTTGGGTTGATGACCACCTGAGTGAGAGAAAAGGCCATTTAACCCAGCTTCAATCCTCAACCAAAGGTGTCTTTTTAGTACTCTTCCCACTTGCCATCTGGAAGCCCCAGACTCCTGGTACCTGGAGAATATAGTTTCCTGGCTTCACATCTGTGATGTCAATCCACTGGCAGTCGATGTCATGCCTATAGAGATCCCAGCAACCCACAGTGATGCCTTGCTCTCCAAAGTTGGCACACTCATACCTCTTGGAGACATCTGAAGGGATTGGCATGTGTCAGTGTAAGGAAAGGCTGTGCGGTGGAGACGCTGAAGTCTACTCTAGGCCCCAACTCACCCTCCTGACACTCAGTGTCTTCTAGACAGAAACTAGCTTTGTGGCCCTCAGCCACCTTGGTGCCGTTGGGGGTCAGGATATCGTAGTGAGTGAAGATGTCCATACTGTGGTAATGCCTGTGGGGACAAGGGAACTCCTGTTTCCTTCCCTGCCCCAGCAGGCTTGCCCCATGCCCTGTGGCTTTGCCCTTCTACTTGACCCCCTACCCTCTCACCCATGGCATTCATGCCACACCCAGGAGTGGCGCCCAGCCTTGGGTCTGAAGTCTGCTCGTCCCAGGTTGTGGATCTGGGAGGAGAATCGGAGCAGGCGCCGGTG